TATATATATATATATATATATATATATATATATATATATATATATGAATTGTACAGATCAAGCGATTCCTTTCGATTATGGAGTGCCTATCGACTGAAGTGATGACGTTCCATTCACCTCGACTTGAAGAGTTTAAATGTCTTTCTGCGAATCAAACCGATAAAATAGTGGTTGTACTTGTGAGTTTCCTTGTGGCATCAGCTGAAAAACTGAGTGATTTCCTCTTGTAATGTATAGGATTGTATTTTTGATATTAACTTGTATCTTTCCTGATTAAGTACACATGCATTTAGCTATGATGACAAAGGTTTTGTAGTCTCTCATTTCACGTACGGAATTTGTTATTTGAGTATATCAAAATCACGAATAAAAAAATGTGAGCGAAGTGTTATGAGATGTGTCGCACAGACTTGCGCTGTGGGACAATTGTGGTGCACATGCTAACGCTGTCAATTTTCCTGCTATCCTTCCCTGATGTCTTTTCTAGGTCTCTAATGGTGTGTTGAGCATGATGCGTATGTGGAGTGCCCAGAGTTGCCACGGGTGGGGGCTCATTCACCAATACCCTCCCCTTCCGGGTGTTGGCGGGGAAATGTGTCCGTGAGCGCTTCCGTGGGTGCGGTCCTTTCTACGTGTCCCTTAGCTGCTCACGAGGCAGCGCCGTGGCTGTGGCCCGTTGTAGCGTCCACGCTGCGAATCGGATTCGTGTGCGCATATGTGGCGCTGCCTATTGTCTCTTGTCTGTATTTGGTGTGTGTGTGTGAGGGTGCCGGGTATGTTTATTTTGCAGGAAATATGTATTTGTTGTGAGTCGTAACTTTAGTGTCGTCCACGTGTTGCTTCCGTGTGGCCGAAGTTCACCACAGGCGTGTTGGGATACGGGCAATATTCTGTCAAACAGTAAGGTATTCTGCTTTTTCAAAATCGTTTTATTTAAAAAACTATTATTTCTTTAATGCATTTCTTCTGCTTGAATGCACTGGAAGGCTCCTTAGAGTTGATTTGCACTGGTAAACCGATTCTAAATGTATGCAAAAATTATACGCATCCTTATATTTGACCTGACTCCTAGATGTTATTTTCGAAACTGAAATGTTTTGACTCTATGTTGTGTTTCTTCAATATGACACATTCGTTTTTTTATTGATCCCTGTTTCGTTTTTTTTTGTTTGTACCGCTCTGGTATCTTTTCGACGCTGCGCTAACACGTTGTTACCTGTGCGGAAATCGACAGAGGCAAACAAGGAGGCATGTCACGTGGGCAGGCCTTCGCCGTGATTGAGGCCCGTCAGCGGCGCGAGGCATTTATGCGGGAATTTGAGGCTTCACAGGCATCAGAGCTTCGTCAGAAGCTGAATGTAGAGTGGGAGTTAAAGGGGAATGCAAAAATATACCAGAAGGAGTTGTTCCGTGTATTAGATAAGGTGGAGGCACGACATAACGACACCTTGGTCGAGCGTCGCAAACGTCTTGCCGATCTTCTCTGCCGTGAGCAAGCGCAGTATGATCACATGTTGGCGAACCTGACTGAGACGGACGGCCAGCGTCGGGAGCGTCTGATCCGCAAGGCCAAGGAGCTGCGCGCTCGACGAGAGGAAGAGAGACGTGCTGATATCGCGCAACGGACCGATCGTCTCTTCCGGGAAAAGATCGACCAACTCCGCGAGGCGGAGAGTCGCCTGAAGGTGATGCAGGTCTCGGATGCGCGTTTTAGCCAACTGGAGGAGGCGAAGCGCAGACGAGAAAACGAGGCGGAGGAAGATGCATTCTTTGCTCAGCAGGCAATGGAGGCCCAGCGGCTAGCTATCGAGCGGACGCAACGCGATCTAGAGGTTGCGTACGTAAGCGGTGAGAAGTTGAAGCGAGATCTTGCGGCACAGGTGGAGGGTAATGCGATGCGGAAGAGTCAAGCGGCCGAGGAGCAGCAACGCGAGAATGAAGAGTTCAAGCGTCTTGTCCACGAGGAGCACGTACAGGAAATGCAGAAGCGCGCTGCTCGCCGGCAGGCTCAGTGCAAATTAGCCCAGGAAATGAAGGAGCTCAATGAGACGCTGCAGCGTGCCCGTAAGGAGGAGTACGATCGGCTGCAGCAGGAGGATAAAGAGCTCCTCGACTCCATCCTCGCCGAGCTCGCCGAGGAGAAGCTTCAGCAGCAGGAGGCGAAGCGGGAGGCGATCCGTGAGCGGCAGGCGGAGTGGGATGACCTTCAGCGCCAACTCGCGCAGGTGAAGCATGACGAGCATGCGAACGATCAGCTCTGGGTGGAGGCGAATAACCGCGAGTGGGAGAAGCGCGAGGCGCGCTGGCGGGCCGATCAGGCGAAGCGGGATGAGCTCCTCCGCCACATCCTCGAGGTCCGCCGTCAGCAGGTGCGTGAGGTCCAGCAGAGGCGGCGCGACGACGCGGCCGCTCGCAAACGCGACTATGAGGAGGTCGTGCTTGCGTCGACGAAGGACGACGGGGCCGGGGAGGCGGCACGGCAGCGACGCGCGCGCGCGCACGAAAACCAGGACTTTCTGCGCGAGCAGATTAACCAGCGCGCGGCGAGGGAGCAGGCCGAGAGAATGGAAAAGCAGCGCTGCCTGACCGATCAGCAGTCCCTCGTGGCGCTTTACAAGGACAGTGTTGAGAAGGAGATTCAGAACCTCGAGACGGCGAAACCGGCGCGATACAAGGACGTCCCGCTTCTACCACCGCATCAGCGAAACCGACCTTTTTAGGTATGTACAAACTTTTAGGGTATGCGAATATTGACGTTTCTTGCGTGTTGGCAGTACTTTATTTTGGGATGTGTGGGGCATACCATGTATTAAATGGCGTGAACGTATATTACTTTTTTTTACTCTTTGTTAGAACTACCCCTTGGATGGAAACGATTTGTATGAGTGCTGAATATTTAGACAACCTTTCCCATCTTTTGAAGAGGTGACTATGTTCAATGTTTACTATTGTTAGTATTTTGTTTTTTCTTTCTTGCACCTCTGATTTTATCGGGTAGCTGAATGATGATTCGGTTCACTACCCGCAAAAGCAACAACAACAGCAACAGGGCACTTCTATACTTGTTTCTGCCTTTCACTTCTGTTTTTGCCTTTCAATTCCATAATATTTTAAGTGAATCAGTTTATCTACAAAATTTCACCACATATTTTTCCGGTTATTGGAAGTGTTTGAATCGTAGCTCTTATTGCACTGTCCCCCTGTGTTGACTCGTTCTTTCACATAGACACGAATCCGTCTGCTTACGACGTGCGCGTTGTCTGAGTGTGCAGACATGAACTTAAAACTTGAAAAATGGTAGAAAAGCAGCAGCAACAAGGCTAAGTGATTAGAGGTATAGTTTTAGTCCGTATAGAGTTCACTGAGATAAACTGTTATGGCATTTTTTATTCTGGGGAGTGATCGCTGTGCGATTTGAGTTGTTGATGCGATTCAATTCACCTGGATTACGTGCGCATTTGGAGAGGGGGAGTGATGAAGGTTAGAACCACTTTTCCCTACGATGGGGCTTTTTGGATTCTCGAGATAATTGGTGCGCCCCGTATTCATGCGTGGGAAAGAATGGGTGGAGAAGGATAGCGACTATCTTCTGGCGGCACCTTTGCGTGAGATTATCCCCAGATGAAGCTGTCATCTGAAAGATGAGGCGTTGCGTTTTCAAAATTTCCTTATCACAGCCTTCGTCTCAAGAACGATAGATACATTTTCGATCTTTGCTAAATTTATCATACATATTGTCCATCAGTCCGATTTCCAAAGTTTGAGAAGTCATACACTTCCTACATGCTGCAGTGACATCTATAGAAACTCCGGTAAATGCTTAAGCCTGGGATTCTAGTATAATATAACCTTCTTAAGATACCCTAGATTGTATTGCTTACACAATCCACAGTCTTAGACAATCTAAGGAACGCTCTTACCTTGGAAGATGGGACTCTTGAGTTAGATCAGCGCTAGCAATGTTTAGTCGGGAGTTTCTGACTTCGACAGTCTTGCAATGAAGGCTCCGTCGTATGTTGGAACACATATTTGATAAGTCTGGCTGACAAAGAAGAATAAGGCAATTCATATTTATAGAAGCTTGTGGATATATTTAATGAAGACTATGAAGTTAAACCCTTTGAAGCTTAATTTATATAAGAAAAAAGCTATAAACTGGGTTGTTTCAAGGTTTCTTAGAGATATGCAAAACCAATACTCGGCTTCACCAGGAGAAGGTTAATAGTCGGAGGCGTTACGTAGTGGTGGCCGAGATTTGCTACGGCATTACCAATGCCATTGATTTATTGGGGATCTTCACGTTTTACTCTGTATTCGTTTTCTTATTGAGCAAATTCTAACCATAAAATTGTTTATACGACGATGGCCTCCTGCTTCCCTGAGGGATAGAAAATAGGTTGCATTTCTTTGTGATGAGACGTGTCCAATGCGATGGAAAATTTTATGACCTCTCGTGAATGAGGGTGCATCGTTTTGTTTTATCATGATGCGCATTTATAACCTTATTAAGCATCCTCGGATATATAATTTAAATTATAAGAAGCCAGCATTTAAGAATACAGAGTCAAGGTTAATTGAAGATTCCTACAAGCAAGACAATTTCGGGCTGAGGTCGAGATGACGCTTGATAGCATACCGGCGCCTGTTTTCACCGGGAAGACAGACCTCTACACGTGGCTCGCGCATCAAACGGAATGTTTGGTCGACGGTCTCAGCAGAAAGTTCACCCCACAGGCTAACCTCGTACTTGGTCTCGCAAACGTGGCAGCTCTGTGCTTTTATGAACTCAACCGTTTTGCCAACACCGCCGCACCTTTGCAAAATTTACCGGTTAACTGGTTCGGGTTTTACCTACTACAGGCTCCGGGAGTGCTAGCGCTTGGACCTTTCCAGGGTCGTCCAGCATGCACAGAGATCCGCCTTGGAAAAGGTGTTTGTGGGACCGTCGCGGAGTCTCGGCAGGCCCTGGTAGTGAAAGATGTTCACGACTTCCCCGGACACATTGCATGCGACTCCACCTCCGTCTCCGAAGTGGTGGTTCCTATTTTGGCTGAAAATGGTAGCGTTTTAGGTCTAATTGACGTGGACAGCACGCAGCCAGGGCACTTTGCCGAGGACGACAGGAATGGGTTGGAGGCCATTGCCTTGATTCTTTCAAAGCACCTGGAGTTCCCCATGGCGCGGGCCCTCGCCGCGAACCCTTCTTTGGCTCGTCCGAATTTCACCGTGGCGGGGGTGGAGCCCTCTCCTGATCAGGAACCCAAGAGTGAGGCAGCTGCCAGGCTGCCCGCGCCTGTCGATGTGGCGGCGGCCAACTTGGATGCCGCGCGAGTGCATGCCAGGGGGGCGAATCCCATTCCACACTTCACCATAGGTCTGAAACCGGAGAGTATTTGTAAGCGCGTGGGTGAATGGGAGTTTACCACCACACGGTTAGATCGCATTTCAGGCCAGACATCCTTGCAGGAGTTAGAAAAGGATACTGGGATTTCGTCCTTCCCTGAGATTCAGTTCCCTTTCAACATCTTTTCGGCGTCCTTTGCGTCTGCCAAGGAGAAACCGCTGATTTTATTCGACTTGGTGTCTATTCTAAAGAACGCGTCTGAATTTTACACCTCCCCGTACTATCGCGAGACGGTTCGATCGCAGATGATGCTGCCCGTCTCGGAGAGCTGGGCGCTGACGCCGTTTGACCGGCACGACCCCGGCGTTGACTGGGGCTGGCGCCACCGCCACTACGGCATCCCGTCCTCCAAACTGAAGCCACTCGAGCCCGGCATGAGCGACATTAACTGGGACCTCTTGAGGGATAACTCGCTGCCCATCGTATTCTTCGGGGAGCTCGACTTTTTCGAGGACGACTTGCATGATTTCGGCGTGGTGCGGTGCTCGGTAAAGTTTCGCGTCATGACGACCGCATTTTTTATCTTGTTTCGTCACTTTGTGCGGCTGGACCGCCACTTGATATGGATGCGTGATGTGCGAATATTCCACAGGTTTGGCGAAACCCGAACCGAGTGCGGTGTGGATGTGCCCCATATCGTGATGGTGGAGCAGTTCGCTAAGCATGATATTACCGAACACGACACTCTTGAATGGAAAGACGTCAGTCCAGACGTGGCGTTCCAAAAGGCTACGGTACTAAGCGTGCATAAATTTTGTGTGGACATGGCAGCGTCATGAAATTTATTGAGTTGAGTGAATTTTTTTCTTGCTGTACATATATATATATATATATATATATGTATATATATATATATATTCATTTATTGAAAGCTTGTCGATCGAAGTTACATCCTGTGAAATATATGGATATTCTCTTCATCGGTGTTTTCTTTAGATCTTGGCTTTTTCCTTCACTGTTTATCCCAGGTTCACATATTTTTGAGGCCCCTCTCCCCCGTTTTCTTTTCGGAGGTGCCTGAAAAAGAGTTCCTGTAAAATATTTTTACCTAGCATATAGGGGGGAGGCTATGGGGATTTGTTTGAAAGAAACGTAGATTTCTAATCCTCCTATCGCAAGTTTCTTAGCTGCTAGCATGGATTAACACCATGAATGTTTTCGTAAAAACTTGCGAAAAGTAAGCTGGTGATAAGCCGGGGAGTTGATAAGAGCTATCACTAAGTGTTTCCTTGCTTTTTTTCTTCTAAGGACTACTGAAAAAGTCCCAAAAGACGTGTTTTGCGGGAAAGTACATCAATATTAACCTAGTAGAGTAGGAGGCACCATTATTTTTTTTAGTTAGCTTAATTTAAACAACACACACTCTTTTGGACACTACTTCTAGAGTCGTCTACTACTAACGGGGTTATCACCACAACGAATGATTCAAATATCGCACAAATAACAACAACAATGAAGCTTAATGACTAAATCAAGAGAAGCTATTCGCTCAGGTAGGTGTGTTTTTCATATGTTTCACTAACGCTTACCTTATCTGAGCATTGAGGCACCTGCATTTTGTTTTCTTTTCTTTCTCATATTCTTCAGAGGTAATACTCTCCAAGTAACCGTAGCCGGCTAAATGGTCTTCCAGAGAGAGGCTATCATCACTGCAAAAGTGTACGGATATGAGACACACATGAAATGAATCCTAATCTTGTAATCTTTGGCTCCACACACAGGGGTCTTGTGCAAATCGCCTGTATTTTAAGAAAAAGTGGTACTCTTGATTTAATCAACGGGACGTTCTCGTGATACCTGGGTCGATGCGTAGGGGCCAACCGCAGAAGGGGGAGGTGCTACAATAATGCAGCAATTTAGCTAAGGTGTAGCAGCACGATACCTTAATGAGGGGAGGGGGGGTAGTATTATTGGAGCTGCTTTCCACGCGTCCAATGTACGAAGAATAGACCATTCTGAAAGAAATAGAATCAAAGGAGAAGACACTGAAACTTAGGGTAGATAGCGTGGACATATACAAAACAAGTTTACTAAAAAATAGAAAATGTGAGTATATTGATTAATGTAGGTTGTTCTGTCATACGCCTGATGAATTTTACCCTAATTTTGCGTTTAAATGATAAAAATCTAGCGCCATTTTCGAAGGATATTTTCATTGCTTTTGCTATTTTTTTAAAAATAAAAGTCTAGTTTTCATTTTTTTACATCTCTAAAAATTTACACTGCATCGCACAAGTTTTTTTCGGCTTTCCCGTAGGGTGGCTCATATGCTTTCGTTTGATTACGACACTGAACCCAGTGCGGATGAGCTGGCGACGAATTACAAGCAGGTATTGAATTCTATTCGTGAGGCTAGCGGAGGTCGTGAGGTGCAACTGGTGGCGGCAAGCAAATCCAAGTCTCCTGCATGCATAAAGTGCCTTTACGACCAAGGTCATCGCGTATTTGGCGAGAATTATGTGCAGGAGGTGGTCGAGAAGGCGCGTGAACTGCCCCAAGACATCCAATGGCATTTCATTGGTCATCTACAGAGCAACAAGGTGCGCGAATTGCTCCTTGGCGTGCCTTCTCTCTGCGTCGTCGAGACCGTTGACAGCGACAAGCTGGCCGACAAGCTCAACACCGGCTGCGAGCGGTACCGTGAGGGTCGCCCGCTGGATGTCTTTCTACAGGTGAACACCAGCGGCGAGGAGTCCAAGAGCGGCACGGAGCCCGGCCCGCCCACCATCGAACTCGCGGCGCATCTCACGGAGCGGTGCCCCCTCCTCCGCCTGCGCGGCCTCATGACGATCGGCATGAAAGACTACACGAGCCGGCCGGAGAATTTCACCTGTCTGATGAGATGCCGTGAGGAGGTCGCCCAGCGCTGCGGGGTGCCGGCCGAGACTCTGGCGCTGTCGATGGGAATGAGCGGGGACTACCAGCGCGCGATCGAGATGGGCTCCACCACAGTGCGCGTCGGGTCGGTGATTTTTGGGCAGAGGGTGTCCAAGCACCCAAAGCAGGCAGGCTAAGCCGTGTAGAAAGTTTTTTCGAGTGCTCTCGGCATGGGATTCACGCTCCAATTAGCGTTCGAACACTATAAATCACTTATGACTAATCATAGTATATGTAGTAGTTCTTTTTCCTTCTAACTGGGTGTGATATTTAGTATGTATTCGGCACTCAAAAATACGACGTGGTTGGTAAGATCTGTCTACACACCTGAATGATAGCGTGAGGGCTTGGTTAGTGTTTACCACCTATTTGTAATTTTATCTTCTTCCCTGTGTTTCTTTTTCTTCATCGTGTGGTAAGTCCAGAAGAAAGGGTCCGCATTTTTCTCCGCATTTCATTCACTCAAGGTTTTAACAAAATCTGGAAAAGGTAGCCAATCGATTTTGTATGTGGGGAGATAGATTAATGGGGGAAAGACTACACATATTTATGGACATGCGGACGTTCGAGGACGTGACCTTCATTTCGTTTCGCGAAACCATTCCAAGACACTTCGGTGAGCTACTCACTATGGCTCGCATAGCAAACAAGGAGATCTTCGTATCCTTACACCTAATCCACTTAAGCTGTGCTCAGACGGTTTTTTCCAACGTTCCGCTTCATCGCGACGATGATGAGTTAGCGCGCATTCTAGATCTATTAGACAAAGTACGATTAGGGAAGCATAAGCCGCCCCGCGTAAGAGAGGGCTACATCTCCAGTACATCGGCAGTCATTTCGTATATCCATCACATCTGCGACATTGAAAGTGATAGCGCTAATTCAATTATCATCTTTGCATCAACGCGTATCGCATTAGCTGATATGTTTCGTAACTTTGTTGACTTCACCCTTGACTCGCCGTATGAGCTTCATTGTATAACTGTTCGATCCGATGCGATATGCATCGATTGCAGCATAATAGGAATGCACAGGCGGGTCTACCACTGCCCGCCGGATCCAGATAATATCAAGGCAGCTCTTCAGTCGATTTTGGAAAAACCACTGTTGGGGGTGGTACCCTTGCCTGTCACCTTGAAGATGGGAAACTTGTCGCTTGAGTGCGAAGCTCAGCGGGTGTGTTTGTCTATTCTGCCCCGGTGCACCACCATGGAAAGCTATACTCACATACAGGACTATAACCCAGAGCTTATTTTTCAGGGCCCACGTGTCGTTCATTCCGCCCTTGAGCAAAGACGTTTTTCTAACGTTGGTGAGCCGCTTCCAATTACCGTTCATGCTATTATGAAGCCTCAAAATGTGGAGGATACTTATCTGTACGGCGATACATGGGTGCTGTCAACCGCAAAGAAACGCGTGACCCCTTCGTCTTATCCTGCGTCTACCAACGACTGCTCTGCGTCTCAGTTTATGCAGGTTCTTCACGAACTTTTCAAGGAAGATGTGCTTGTGTGTTCAACCCCGTTCTCAAATTTCGATCCACCCCATCAGATGGCGTTGCAGAGATCCTGCTTTTTGATCTATATCCTAGGAAGAAACAAGCTGGCTATGCGGGCAATCATGCCAACTGAAATAAGGCGGGTAATTTTGATCGACGAGCGGCCTTTACGACAGGCAGATGCTACTCTGAGAAAGCAACTGTTAGACATCCGTAATCATTTGAAGCAACGAGGCAATGATCCTAATTTTTTAATGGATAGATTCACCCAAGGAAATTTATGTCAGATAGTATCGCAACAAAAAACAGAACGGGTGAGTCGTGTTGAGAATTCTAGGGTAATATTATGATGCAGGTCAACGTTCACCCTTATTGTTTCAGTATTTTCATCTTTTACGCTGCTCAAATATACTCATACAATTATAATTACGATTTCTTCACTTTTTATTTTTATTTTTATTTTTATTTTTATTGTTGTGTCACCTGCTCTTAATATTTTCAAGTTTCACCTGTTCTTTATACCCCTTCTAGACTCCTTAATGTGAGAGTCAGTTCGAGATTGAGAGGCATGCATGTGAGTGGGGAAAAAATTGCATTTGTTATACTTACGTCTTCTCTGCATTCTTTCTGTATGTTTTTCTATCTATAGTGGGGTTTATTAAATACATAAATTATCCAATTAGTCTGTTTAGGTTTTACTGTCTCCCCTCCCCTTGATTCAGTTTTCGTCGAAAAGACACTGCTTTTCAGTTTTTTTTTAATCAGACCTCTTTTTGATCCCCACTTCGGTTAGTTTCCTTTCCTCCCTTGCCAATCTCTAATGCCTGTAGAAGCCTGCAGCGGGCTTTGGCGCTCGGAGGATATGGTCGTCCTTTCCCTTCAGATGCAGCGCGAGGTGGCCCATGACGCCATCCTCAAGCTTGGTGAGATCGGCATGTTTCAATTTCACGACCTGAACGAGGGCTTTAGCCCCTTCCAGAGGGACTTTGTGCAGGAGGTGCGCCACTGCGATGACATGGAGCGCAAGATACGCTTTCTCCGGGATGAGATTGATAAGTCTGGCGTGATGGGCGTTCCTCAGGACGGTGCCAGGGGTGAAACCATGTTTTCCCTCGAGCAAAAGGTAGAAGAAGTTTATAATGAAGTTGTTGAGTTCAAAAAACAGTATCAGGCCCTCATTGTAGAGTACAACTACACAAGAGAACACCTCGAAATCATCAATCACGAATTCAGCAGGGTGACCGGTGATAGTCTTAAGGTGCTCACTGGTGTTGTACCCAAGGACCGTCTTAGCACTTTCGAACGGATGATTCACTGGGTGACTCGTGGAAACTCCATCTTGTGTACAGATGACATCGAGGTTCCTTTTTATAATGTGAACGCCAACGAGCCGGTATACAAAGCCATATTTGTTATTTACTTTTCCGCCGCCCGGCTGCGCGATAAGTTGGTCAAGTTATGCGAAGTAAACGGTGCCACGCTTTACCCCCACGCCGAAACAGAAGAGAGGATGCAGCAGATGCGGGGCAGCCTGCTGCAGCAGTTCGAGACGGTGACGGCGACGCTGCGGCAGTCCTCGCAGCGGCAGCGGCAGGTCCTCCTGAGCATCGCGTCGTCCTGCCACGAGTGGCATCGCACGGTGGTGACCGAGCGGGCGGTGTTTTCGACGATGAACCTAATCAAATTCACCGGATCGACGGCGGTCGCGCGCGGGTGGGCGCCGGCGCGTGCGCTCGACGACATCCGCGCCGCCCTCGTTGAGGCGGATCACCTCAGCGGTGCGCAGGTCGCCACGGTGATTGAGCGAGTCGCCAGCAAGGAGAAGCCACCGACTTACTTCCGCACGAATAAGGTTACCGCATCTTTTCAGAGCATCGTGGACAGCTACGGCATCGCGCAGTACAAGGAGGTCAACCCGGGTGTGTTTACCATCATCACTTTCCCGTACCTCTTTGGCATCATGTTTGGGGATATCGGCCATGGTCTCATTCTTACCCTCGCAGCCGGATATTTGGTGATCAAGGAGAAGAGTTTTGAGGGGAGGCAACTCAATGAGATCTTTGGAATGATCTTTGGTGGCCGCTACTTACTGCTGTTCATGGGACTCTTTGCAGTCTACATGGGGATTCTGTACAATGAGATGTTTGGGTTTTCAGTAGAGATTTTCGCCTCCAGCTACCGCTGGCCGGAGCTGCCACCGGAGGGGAAGGGCAACGTGATCTACCCATCCTACCCCGACGGCCGTCCGAGTGTAAAACCCGACTCGCCAGTTATCTTTGGCGTCGACTCCGCCTGGGAGGGAACTGAGAACAAGCTCGAATTCTACAATTCTATTAAGATGAAGTGCTCTGTGATCGTTGGTGTGGTTCAAATGATCGCGGGTGTCGTGTTATCCTTGTTTAACTACCGCTACTTCAACAACACTATCAAGTTGAGGTACCGCTTTATACCTGAGATTGTTTTTCTATCCTGCACATTCGGCTACATGTGCTTGCTCATCATCATCAAGTGGTTGACCACATGGGAAAACACCAACGACGCGCCCTCGCTGCTGGAGACGATGACAGATTTCTTCCTATCCCCCGGCACCGTGCGGCTGCCTTTGTTCACCGGGCAGGCCGTTCTGCAGGTTGTGCTGTTGGTGGTGGCGGCGGTGTGTGTGCCGTGCTTGCTATGCATCGAGCCTTACATGGAAAAGAAGAAGTACAGTGACAATATGCGGTATCGCTCATTGCACCGTTCCTTCGACGACGAAATGGAAGAGGTTGAGGAGGAATTTCAGTTAGGGGAGGTGATAATACACCAAATTATCCATACCATAGAGTACGTTCTAGGGTGCGTCTCCAACACGGCGTCGTACCTGCGCCTGTGGGCACTTTCCCTCGCGCATTCTCAACTTTCTGAAGTGTTCTGGAACTTTTCTTTCCTTTTGGCCGTCGACTTAGATGGTGGTTCTGGAGTCGTAATCTTCTTTGGCTTCGCGGTGTGGATGGCAGCTACCCTTGGAGTGCTATTGGGAATGGAGTCACTGTCTGCTTTCTTACACGCATTGCGTCTCCACTGGGTGGAGTTCAACAATAAGTTTTATGCCGCGGATGGCTATCCGTTTGAACCTTTTGATCTCGCAGAGATTTTGACGGTTATTCGTTGAAGACAAAACCACGAGCACTATGTCTACACAGGTAAGGCAGGCAGACTCGATAATGTGAATCATTCTGCTTCTCACTCTCCTCCTTTCCCTCGTCGAAGGAGGGAGAGTGAATATACGGTGTGAAAGGTTGCTTCACAGTAGAAATGCTCTCTCTCGTTAAGATGATCTTCATGATCAATTTTTATAGAGGGCATGGTTCAATCCACTCGCATACGCCTCCATAAAAGGTTTATTATTATTATTATTACTGCATTTCCTTAAAATAGGGCAGATTCACTACTGAGGATAGAAAAAAGCTGAATACAAATTCAAGTAAAGGGCGCAAATGGCGATAATGTTGTTGCATTTACCCATATAAGGAACAAATAAGAAAGAGTTAGTAGTAATTGGTATCCTTATTACACGTTTCGACTTCAATTTATATCGTTGGAAGGATGTACTTTTCTTCTTTTGAATTCCCTTGATCAAGTGCGATAGCTGAGTGTGATGCTCTTTGTTATTGTTATTTTTTTTCTGGATATTCAGGTTCCCTTAGTTAAGGATAAAATCGCCTGTGTGGAGAGTGCATTTTCAGGACAGAAAAGGCTCTGTTGGTCGTGATTCAGTAGGACTATATTTTCGTGTCTGTAGAATTGGTAAGATACTTTTCTCTCCCGTCAGGTATCTTTTTGTGCTTATTCTCCGTGTGAGCAAGAGGAAATAGACCTCTTCATTATTTTTCTTATAGAGGCCCCACATGTTCATCTCTCTCTATATATTTTTCTATAAATCTTTGCATTTTTGTTTGTTTGTTTGATAAAGCTCTTGGAAGCGAGAAAATAGGCCTACAACAAAAAGTCTGGTCACCGTTGAGAAGCTCATTATTTTGTCTTCCATTTGTTACAATCAAAAAAATAATATATCCATATGAATATATATATCCATATTCCTATAAATGGAGTATCGCGCTAAAACATTGCCTATACCATCAAACTGGGTGCACCCAGATCTACGGCGCCGAATTCAGGAGCGCGATAAAGCGGGTTCCTCCGCACCGATTAAGAGAATATCTGGGTGGAATCATTTAGTACAGAAACGGCTTGTTTTCTTAACGAGCATGTTGAAAACAAAGAAAGCGAGTCTGGCAGACATGGAATCAGCCCTGAATATGCTGAAGCAAGATGTGGCAAACATGGAGCGAGAGAAGGAAGAATTGAGTGGCCTTGCAGAGGGCCTCAGTAACCAAGTTTACTATCAGAAAAGTATGGCTGGATCAGCAATCCTTTCTGGTACTGCTCAAGGCGTACTTACACACTCGGATAATTTTGACGAGCCTTGTTCAATTGTCGACGCGCAGAAATCTGTTGATGGATACACATGTCCCTTAGAGGTTCACTTTCTTCATCTTTTTGGACGGCAGTTAGGGTTTCCGTTATGTGGCAAAGTGGACGAGGCACAGGTCCGATTGTTTTTGAAATCCTTTGCTCCGCTCTTCTCATGGAATGACTCCAAGAGATGTGTGCAGCCGCCTTTTTTCTTTGATGAGCCATGTTTGATTGAGGAAGAGGGCACTCCATGCCGAAATGTGGCGTGTGTGTACTGGCATAAAAACCAGCTGGAGCATATCAAATGGGCCGTGCGCCAATTCATACGGGCAGCATCTAGGTTTCATGTGGCAGATCCACGACTGTGCGCGATCGCCGCTTTTTTCGACCACACCTGGACCTTTGTGGACACGGCCAAGTCCGTTCAGCAGATTTCGCGCACCATAACAAACCGTATTCAAAGCATCATTGCTATGGGATGGCATACCTTTCTGCTCGCCCCAGGCACCGAGATGGATGCGGGGCAGCGTGTGTGGGCGGCCCCTATCGCGCCGATGCCCTCCACATCCTCGCTCCGCGAGGATCTCTTGACCAATGACGAAGAGCGGCGTGCATGGCGTGCGGCAGCCGCCGCTGGAAAATCGTCTGCGACCCTTCTCTTTCTCGAGCAACCGACGGCATTGATGTGGCGCTGCATGGTGCGTATATATGGCGAAACCCCAGAACAGCTCCACTGGCTCGCAGATCAGGGGCGGCAGTTGTTCCCAAGCTCACCTCATCTGCAGTTATTGTACGTGCACACTCTTATCGAGCAGCATGAGAGCGTTGAGAGTTGTGTTGAGACGTGCCGTGTGGCGGCCAGGACGCTTTCCGCCCAGGCGAGTGCGGCGTCCCTCACGCTCAAGGACACGTTCTGCGCCGAGACGATCTCGCGCTACGTGGCGCATATTGTCGCGCAAGGGGCGGTCTACGCATCGCGGGGCGCCGACATTGCGGCCTGCGTCGCGTTGCTGGAGGAGGCCCTGGGGATCCACCCATGCCAGGCCTTCGCACTGCTGCCAAAGGCGCGAGAGAACCTCACTCTGATGCTGATCTGCGCCAAGCAGACGGGCGGCCTGTCACAGGCGGAGTGCCTCCCGTTAGCTTCCATCTCAGACCACTCCTGGACCTTCTGCCGCTACTTTCCCAACGTTACTCAGGAATTGTGCGGTCAGCTACTCGCCGGGCAGCTGGAGCTTATCAACAGTTGCCAACGAAGCCTCCTCAATCAACATATGTTAGACGAAATGAAATCAGCTGCTCAACTTTCGCTGATGCGGGTCTTCTCCGTTTGTATTCAGTACATGGAACAGATTATGCGAAAGTTGGTCGCAGATTCCGAGATAAGCCAGGCGGTGTTGTGGAGCGAGTATATCCACTGCATTGGTGATTTTGACAGCGCACAAGTCGCTAGTGCTATGGCCCTGCAGCTTATAACGGACGATACAAAACCCCCCGTCAGCTGTATTTTGACAGTTTTGCTGATTTGGTTCATGGACACACCCGACGTGTGCATGACTGACAAAGTGTTGCAACGCTGCGCTTTGTTTATGCAGAATGTCGGCATTGATCAGGGAGAAATTTTTTCCAGCACTTATATGGTCGAAAAAATGAAAGTGAACCCGACGATTCCACCTGTTGAGTGGGTTTCCTTTTACATCCTGTATTCAATGAAGGAGGAGACTCTTCAACAGTATGAGTTGCTTTCCAACATTCCTGTTGCACTTTACGTGACTGATACGAACGCGGTTGTGCTACTTCTCATGGCGCAGGCCCGCCTGGCAGCTGACATGGATGATCTTGCGCGCTTCATCTCTAGCTTGAAGCGTGCCCTTTATATTCTACGACATCCTTTTCTTATGTGGGGAAGCCCTTTGGATATATTTTGGAATAGTCTAGTCGGGATTGCCCACTGTACCACGTTAATGCTCTATTCCCTGGTCCCAGTTCTGCTGAAGTCGCTGGGGGGAAAAACGATGGAATGGCGTTTATCAATTCTAAAGGTTGGGGAACAGTTTGGAGTGTTGCATCCTCTTCTCAAGGAGCACATTAGTGCAAGAGATGGGGCATAGATATTACACATACATAAATATATACATATATATGTATATCTCATTTGTTTGTTTGAGTTAGATAAGAGAGACAAGAACAAAAAAACTAAAATATATATGAGATATGGACTCTATGCCCTTCTTCCCAAGAGAAGAAAGACAACCTTTTCTTGAAAAAAAAAGGTCCGATCTATATATGATATTGTTTCATTTTTGACCAATTTACCTTCTGAATTTCACGTTATAGCAAGGATCTGTATGAGAGTCTTGTAATTGTTTTGTCTCTTTTTCATGTGGTAAGCGTTGTATTGTTGATTCGTTGTTGAAGGGAATCATACGCATATCATTTGAACACAGAAGCCTAGAAAGATTTAATACGTTTTTAGTCTTGTGAATATTTTGTTTTTTCTATGAGCTCGGTACGATGAAATGATTCAAAGACAAACTAGCGATTTTACTGGAAGTAATTCACATCTTAGCGTCCTCTTCGGACCGATTACGGTGGTTGCAGTGTACCCGACATTCGCCATCCTCTGCTGGGAGGCCCCACAGTCTGTTAAAGGAAGTTTTCCTTTTGGAAACATCCAGTGGAACTACACAACTGAGTGGAATGGGTCCCACGCCCATGCAGCAGACCCTCTCCATCTTTCATCGGATGCTTCACATATTGCCATTCCCCTGGTCTACCCTGGCGAGACGGTTTACGTGCGCGTGATTGCCAAGGGCCATCTAAAGAACGGCACGGTCGCGTTAGGATCGGCAAAAATGTCATTTTTGGCAACCTGCACGACACCTATGCCATGGTTGAGGCCTGGAGCACTCGACAGTCCTCTTTTGTTCGATGCGTTATATATGTGTGCAATTGATTGTATACCAGCGATCTTTTCGCAATACCGTTCTGACATCGATCGTATTGATGATAAAGGTTATTGCATCCTAGACACGGCTGCCCATTGCCACAAGCTTCATGTATTATACAAAAAGCCCCAGTCGCCTGCTAGGAGCTCTTCCATTTACTATCTCGTGGTGACCAGTAGTGTAAAAAACGAAGGCCGAAGGAAAAGGCTTTCCACTTCTTCTCTTCTAGAAACGCTCCGGGCAGAGCAGGCAGCGGTGTTTTTTTGCGGTGTTAGTGAGCTTGGCGCGATTGCGGCGATGAACGCATACAGCGTGTTTGCATTCCTAGCTCAACACACCGAATCGGGCCTGATGGAGGATCTGCAGTCATGCGTGTTTTGCATAGCGTATGGTACCGCCCGCCGGTGTTTTACACATGAGCTGCCTTTGCTTCGCAATGCTGCGTATCTTAGTGGTAACGTCCTTTTCTATTCCGGACTTCCAAGGCGCTGCGATGCCGCGTCGGGGCTCTCTGACGTTATGTCTACCGCGGGTGCCACCTCACTGCTTACCAGAGAGCAGGAAGGAGAGCCACGGGGCGTGCCTCTTGGCGTGCGCACAGTCCCTCTACTAAACCCTCAGACGGGCTGCTCTAAACTTTTGCTCGAGATCTCTAGCATAGACCCTGTGACTGACGAGGAGCACTTGGAATGCCTAAATATTGCCCATCATCTAAACTTATTATGCGAGCTAGTACTGCCTCATAGTTCTCGTGGTCTTCTCGCGCCGTACATTCATAGTGTACGCTATCGCGTCATTGATATTGCGACACTTCTGTTAGATATTCAGGGCCAAAATCTTCAATTCAACCCGTTTGTTACCGGCGTATGCTGCTCGAGCGGCTTCCCGTTGGTGATGACTACACGAAGTTTTTCTTCCGATATCATCACCGTCTCGATCTCTTTAATGCAGATGGTCGTGCAGCCAGGTCTTCTCTGTGGCAGCTGCGTCGATCTATCGAGCGGTAGCCATTTGTTAGTCCAGCTGCTGGTTCAGACCGACTTGGGAATCGTAGAGACTGAGACACCCGTTCCGATTTCCATACCTTCTGGGATGATTGAGCTCATGCGTCACGCATGTGACACTAAAAGCGATTTTTCAGCTTGGTTGACAGGGCTTCCGTCTGTTTTCGTGGATGCCAGTGTTAATTGGTTGCCCTTTATTGTTGGCAGTGGCACTCGTGTTGTGCATGCAGGCAGCGCGTCAAGCCAAGGGGACCGCATTAAGCAGAAACTGAGCAGCCTGTCTTCGGTAGCAGAGCTGTCTTTCCACTATGCGTGTCACCAGCAACAAACTGAGGGAGGGTTCTTAGCCTTTGTATCTGCTGTTGCTTCCAGGTTTATGAGGAAACCTGACCCGGAAGTGGCGGGGCTTCTTATCTTGTCTTCACCCCCTCAACTCAAGGAGGCTATCTTTCTCAGTCAAGTACTTGGAGCATACAATGAGGGTAAGGCGACGCGTCTGACAGAGTTTTTATCGCATATGTCCTCCTGGAAGATGCGAATTTTTCGCGGTTTACCTCATCTCAGTGATGCGACCTACGAAATGATCCTGCAGCGTCTGCTTCTCTTGTTTCAGGAGGTGGATGCCGCTCATGAGCTGTCATTGGTAGGTATGGAGCTTCTGCTCTATGCGAGTGTGCTTCAACATCTTCGCAGTAGCGATAGCAACATTGGCTCAGTAGAAGGCCATCTCTATCCTTGGATCACGGACACCTTATCCTTTGAGAAATTTTACGAGCTGCTCTGTCCACTTTTTCTTCCTTATTGCTCCTTGTCGGGCGACATTGAGGCTAAAATGGTGCGTGAAGTGAGCCAACTGTGGAGCATTTGTTTACTTCTGGAACTACGATGCGTGCAGGCTCTTATTCATGTGGCAGCAGTAACCGGTTGCCATGGAAGTGGACGGTCTACGATTATCAACACCCTTTTTTCAACACTTTTAGATTCAAGAGTGGTTCGGAGCAACAAAGAGGTTGTATTGCGGCAGATCGACGGAGACGAATTGGAGCTTATGCAGCAGGTTCTGGGCCTCGGCATGTCAACTACAGTGTTTATCGTGGGGGAGCTTTCTGATTTCTCTGGTACAGAATTTTCCTCAATTGTGCACACCGTACAGAGTAGTGTAAAGGACTACGGACGGCAAAAAGTTCAACTTGTAGTGTCAAAAGTAGATGAACATCTACAACACTATGGAGCGATAATGCAAAGCGAGTTGCTTTCCCTAAATAACTGCAAGGAGGCTGAGATATTTGAAGCGGCGCGGCACGCTCTAGACGCCATGGCTTCTGCGCTGCCCGCTCACATCCAGGAGTCTGTCTTAGCTCTGTCATTGCTCCCCTCTCCTTTATGTATTCGAAGCCTCTTTCATCGCCTCGGCGGGCGTGAGGTCCAAGGTGAGGATCTGTTTGCCTCTGCACTGGTGCATTTTTCTCGTCAAGCACTCCTTCACGCCATCACTGAGGGCCTTCAACTGGACACTAGCCTATGAATAGGGAATTGGTGGCTAGATTCGAGGGCTGTATTTGGTTTATTTGTGTATTAAAGCATAGGGAATGGAGTGTGAGGGGAGGGGAGGTGGTAAATGATGAGATAGGGCTCGGTTCGACGGGTTCACTAAAGCATTAATTTGATTAGCACATTTTTGTCTCGTTCAGGGCTGTTTACAATTTGCACCATCCACGTATACTTATAATTAAAGGGCATTTTCCAGTGACAGAGTTTTAATTTTGGCTTAGCAGGCTGTAGCGAGTCTCTATTTCCAAACTTCTCTGGATAAATACTTCCTAAAATTCCTTTGAATCTTCCGCAGTGTTTTTTAAGTGTCACCCAGATTAGATTTTTTTTCCCGGAGAACGAGGACACATTGCGCACTGAGAAATTTTTTAATTTATTTTAAATAGAGTTAAAGTATTAATAAGACATGGACCATGGATTGATCATTGATGCGCTGGAATGGGAAGTCTTGAAGAGTTCAGTTTCCTCTAAAATATGGATTCAGCTGATAAAGGCGGTTTCAGCGGACACCTATCCTGATCCATCGACAAAGGCGAATGCTATCAACATCGTGTATGAACGTGCTGTCCGCGCGCTGCCCTACTCGTACAAGCTGTGGTCTTCGTACTTGCGGTATCGACAGGAGGAAACTAAATCGTTGTGCACATCAAACGAGTGGTTTCAGTCCATACGTGAGTTGTTTGAGCGTGCGCTTGAGCGACTTCCTCAAATGCCGCTGTTATGGGTTTCCTATCTTCAATTTGTGATATCTTCTCCAGTCTTGCGTATCGTGATGGTACGCCATATCATCGGCCGCAGCCTGTGTGCGCTTCCAGTAACACAGCACCACCTCATTTGGAGAACCGCAAGAGTCTGGTGTGCACACAGTGCCGTTCCCACACAAACGTTTAAGGCTATCTGGTCTGTTTACTTGCAGTTTGACTGCACCGTGAAGGCTCAAACCCAGTATTTCACGCTACTATTTCATCGTGGAAACAATGAGGAGTTTTTGCAGGAGTGCATAAGGGTTCTACAGAGCCGTACGGATACTGACCCCCTCGTGATTGACCGTGCGATTTTGGAGGATCCTGGTTTTTGGGAGCCGATTGCTATGATATTTCAGTCGGTCGGATGGTATTACTCTGGGGAAATAAAGGCTCTAACTGAGCTCGTGGAGTACGGTTCCAAATATTGCGCCTCGCCACACTATTTTTCATTGTCGTATGCGATGTTTCTCTATGGTCAGGGCTTGATAACGCAGGGTCGCCAGGTGTTTACGAGACTTCTCAGTGAAGCCCCTAGCCCTGTGGAGTTACAGGAGACTTACCATGTCGTGCTTGAGATGGAGAACCAACTAGTGGAGTCATTTGCGCTAAGTGAGGGACTGAGAGACATGGATGCCTCCCAACAGGCAAGGGTGGTGCGACATGTGTTCGCAGACGCTTCTCCGCTGGACCATCTAAGATATCTTGTCCACGAGTACCCAATGTGGCTTAACCAAGCGCAAATTCGATGCAGTCCACTCTGCGTTCCGCTCTGGTTGAAACGGGTCGAGCTGCTGCAAGAGAGGAGGGCTTCGGCTATAGACGTCGAGAGTCTTTTCCGCCAGGCGATTGCCCACTGCACGTCTGGCATGCGAGAGGTAGATGCCGCGGTTGGGCAGCTTTTTCACAGTTTTGTGTGTTACCTGATTTCCCAGGGGAAGCATGAAGAGGCTGTACAGGTGCTTGCTGAGGGTGCGTGGGATGTTCCTTTCACTGCAGTTGCCATTAACGCCGACCTTTTGGGGCTTTATGGCGAAATACGATTAGGGATCTGCAATAGTTCTCACTTAAAGGCAGTGATGTCCGTTATGCTCCAGAAGTTACTCACATTCCCACAAAAGCGGGTGAGGGCGCGACGTGAGATCCTTGCAACATCAGCAGGTGCTGATGCTTCAGCACCTCGCCTCGACTACCGTCCTTGGTTACTCTTAGCAGACTTATGCATCACATCTAGTGATTTGGAGAACCTCCACGGGGTTCTACGCCATTATCTTCCTTCAAGTGCGTTCACAGCTGAAAGCTGTGCGTATACTGCCCACTCGTTGTGGAAACTTGGTGATGATGGTGGCGCTGCGCGCGTGTTGGAGTTAGGATTGAATACCTTTCGCCCTGATGACGGGCTGTCGGTCATCTTTCTAGTTGATCAATACATATCTTTCTTGATAGCCAACAGCCGGAAATCCGGAGTTAGGTCGCCGATGCATCATGTTCGTGAGCTCTTTAGGGTTGGCGAAGAGGCGGCACCGACTGCCCTTCTCGTGGCACCGGCAGCAACTCTGAATTTATTGGTAACTTGGGCATGGCTAGAAGCTGAGGAAGGACTATTTGGGAATGCTGTTCAAATGTTACAACATGCTGTACAGCTGGCTTTGAAACTGCTACCTGTGGAGCCACATCGGATGTTACTCATATGCATCATAGAACGTGTCATACACTCGACTCACACGTTCAAGGGTCATTATGCGACGAGAGAATACTGTCGTCAGCTTCTAGGAATGTTGGAGGATGTAGAACTCCTGCAGCGTGTTGCTTTGCATTGGTCAGCGCTCGAGAGACGCTGCGGTGAACACGAGACGGCTCATCTCATTATGGACGCGAGTTGTCCCAGCCAGGACCCTTCATCTGCTCATGGAGCGGTCTACTGGCAGCTGTGGGAATCTTTGTGTGCAAATGTTAGCGAGTTTGAAAAGGTTAAACGGCGGCGTGAGCAGGTGGCTGTCCGCTTTGCCAAAACTAATGCCACATCTTAACAGGTGGATTATGGAAATGACGTGGCTACAAAATACAACCACTTCAGAAAGCTGCCTCACATTGTAAGTGAGGGATATAGTAGTGTGCATGGTGTACCCCCATTGCGAAAACATTGCCATCTTTAACTGTGTACTTGATATGAATGTCAGCGTTTCAATCTGTGTGAATCGGCTTCTGCTTTTGCCTAAGGCACGATATAAGGTTTCAACATGTGGGCCATCATGAGACGACCAATTCTGCATGGCGAGACATGCCAGCAGCTGGAGGGCAGACGACGGCTTTGTGACTTTCAGAGTAACATGTGGCTTCTGCCGTCACATTTGCACGTTTTGAAGCTAAAGATGCGCACTCAGAACTCGAAGCTGGTGCTTCCAGCGGAACACTTCGTGGAGGCCCCGCCTAGGGCCTTTCCATTACCTCAGGTGCCGCCTGGGCTCATGTCCACTATCGTGGAGCGCGTATCACCGCCAACGGCATCGGAGCATCTCCCAATGATTCTAGACACGAAGGATCCTGGCGTTTATTTTTGGCGGTTATCCACGATGGATGAGTTTCTAGATGCGAGTTTTCTCTGGTGCGAGATGTGCTTCCCGCGCAATTGGCTTTTGTGCTCCTCTAACGTGATTGCGTGGCCTCAGAGTCCTCTCCAGCCGCTGACGATTCTTAACGCGCAGGAAACGACTAACCCTTTTCTGCTCGATCCCCTTCTAGAACATGTGAACCTGGTGGATGGCAAGCCGCTGTCGAAATCCCTCAGCAGTGGCTTGACGACGGTGGCCGCGCAATTCGGGTACTTATCGTTTGCCTGGCTCGAGGCCTGCAACGCGTCGCCAGATGTGAGAAGTCGTGCTACACCTCACTCGGTCTTAGTTCTGGAGAGGATGTGTCTTTTACATATTTCGCAGCTCTCTATCGAGACTCAACGGAAGCTAATGATGAGTGCCTCTCGCTTTGTCCTTTTAAGGTCAGCCATTTCATCTTTTGTCTACATTACACACGAAGGGTGGGTCTCTGAGTCGCGTTTAAGGCTTACTGAGAAAATTGAACGATCTGACATTCCTCCTCTTGCTGAAGGAAGCCCCCGCCAGCCTTTATTATGGGTGGCTGACAATGCAGGTGACGATATGGATGAGTCAGATAAATATCTTGTTCGGTACCGTTGTTCTCAACGCCTCTTTTTTAACGTTTCTCAATTGACGACGAAAAAAGCGTTAATTTCATGATAGTTCTATTTTTCTATTTTTAATAACTGCTGTTATGCCTTTGCGGTTTGCTTAATTATTATTATTTTTTAAACTATTACTCTTCTTTTATATGTTATGCTGCTATTTAATAAATTGTATGTTTTGAAAAAAACGTGGCTGAGGGATATAACAGCAAAGGCAACTAAATCCAGCCTTTTAATTGCGTCATGGTCTAAAAGATACTCAAGCTTTTATTCTTTTTCATTATTTTGTCCCTTTTTCTTTATATATATATTGAGTACTCTTTACTGCGTAAATGCCTTGTAAGAGAGTCTGACCCAGATATGCAATCAAGAGTTTCTTTGTATTCTCTTGGAAGCACAGACGATTACTTAGGTCAATGTGCATGCTCATGGATTACGCAGACATGGTTAAATGTCAAGGCTCACATAAACGGGATTATGCATGTTAGTTCCCGTTTTCTTATTTTTGAGCCTGATGATAACTTAGTTCCAGTATATTATTTCTCAATAAAAGATATCACTTCATATTCATATGAGGAGCGACATGCACGTCACCTTTCGGCACTATGTATAGACTGCTCCACGGTGCAGGAGGGGAACCTTTCTGCCCGATTTCAATGGACACCAACCATGGCCCCGTTGAAGCGTTCTGCATGCCAGGGAAAATGGTTGTTTCGATTTGCAGCAGATTGCATAAATACGGATTTTGAAAATTCCCTTAGGACAGCAATAGTTCGCGACCCGCAGGGCATTGCATTGAGAATTCGGCGAAAAGAGTCTTCTCTACAGAAGCAGTATAGTGCGATCACGTTTTTAGTAAAACGAGTCTTGCCACTGCGTGAACAAAGAGGCATTTTTGTTGCCACTGCGGAGGAGCTTCTTTTCAACCCTATCTTTCCGCTGTTTGGGGCTACCGAAGTTCTATTGTCCTCACAACATGTTCTTCACATGTTTCCCCGCCTAATAATTTTTCGTAATCTGGGTCTTGATTTCTATGGGTCTGAGGTTTCATCTCCCCTTTTATCGCTTCAGTTTTATTCTGAAACAGAAAGGGATCAGGCCATCGAGATCTTACTGCGGTTTACATGTATACCACTCTTCTCAGTTTCCCTCTCAAACGTCTTTAGCCAATGGCAGAGGGGCAAAATGAGTAACTACGAATATTTATGTCTATTAAACAAGATGGCGTGCCGGAACCCTGATGATCTTTCCCAATACCCAGTGTTCCCATGGGTCATTTCCGATTACACTTCCGCCCACCTAGACCTTAAAGATCCTAGGACTTTCCGAGATCTTTCAAAACCTATTGGTGCCTTAAATCCGACACGTTTAAACAATCTGGAAAGGCGGATGAATGAACTGAAGGAATTGGAAGAGACTAGCTATTTGTATGCTACACATTATTCATCAGCGGGCGCAGTCGCGTATTACCTGTTGCGATCCCATCCAGAATATCAATTAAGCTTGACACATGGCAAGCTAGACTGTGCTAACCGCATGTTTGAGTCGATCGAAGCTGCCTGGAATGGCGTCTACAACAACAGCAGTGACTTTAAGGAGCTTGTGATGGAATTTTTTAACCAAAACGGAATCGAAATGTGTTCTAGAGCTCCTTTTGATCTTGGCGTGAAGGATAACATGCATGCGGTGTCGCCGGCTGTTATCTTGCCCCCATGGGCAACTTCAGCGAAAGACTTCATAGCTAAGAACACCGCTGCATTGGAGAGTGACTACGTTTCGTCACACCTTCACTTATGGATTAATCTCATTTTTGGCGTCAACCAAGACGGAGAGGGTGCTGTACGGTCCAAAAACGTTTTTCATCCCTTTTCTTACCCTCAGCGGGATAACACGCCAGGCTTAGGCGGCTGCCGAACTGATACTACACCGTATGAATATGCAAAGGAGTTTGGCTGTATGCCCGTGAAATTATTTCGATCAGAACACCCATGCAAGCAGAGCACACAACAATTCTCTTCTGCACTATTTACACCATGGTCACAAAAACTCTGCCGATTGGATGAATTAACCGAACACGAAACATTGTCGATATTATCTCTAGTTTCCCAGGAAGAGGACGAAGAGGGCAGCATCGTGTGTGATAATAACTCACGTTCACCGGTTACCTATCCCGATGATTTGCCTCTTATACTCTTGCGTAACTCGACGCCTTTTGGATTAGACGTGCATCATACTTTTTCCACAGAATGCAACATTGTTACCGCAATCACCCTTAGTATTTCTAACAGGTCTACAAATGACATTAATGTAAGGGATCACGGTGTCTTGACGCTGATTTGTGACGATGGTCGTAGGGCAGTCTTGTTTGACTGTGCGTCAAGGGAGTGTCTACGGATTTTTTCAGACTTTTCTGATATTGTAGAGCATGTTGCTTCTTCAGATTGCAACATTTTTTTATTTTGTGCAAATTCTTCGTTGTATATAATTAGTCTTGAAACTTATTCTCTTATCGATCGAATAGACAATTTTTCGATAAGCCCGATTTGCCTCAGCGCGTTTAGTGGTACTTTTGGCGCACTTGCGGACAGTCAGGCACGTGTGTATGAGTGGGCACTGGCCTTCGAATCTGATGGGCAAGTATCGAGCGTCCAGCACGCTCGCCTGCTGTCTGAAGCGTCGTCCTCGGTATGTGTCTTGCGGCTTGATGACAGTGGGAGAGTCATGTGTGCGTCAGGTGATGGTGAGGTTCTGATGGTGTGTCCACGAGATAATATGACCGCGACTTTCCAGGCACATATCTCATCAATGCAACATATTCTGCACCTCTTGATACTATCTGACTCGATAAGCTCTTGGATTGTTGTAGTGTTGAATGATGAGGTGCATTGGTACAACTTTAGTGGGGCTCTGATGAAGAGGTTAGGACTAGGGGGCTGCGAGACGTTTAAAAGAGCGTGCTCGCTTGGCACCTCTGGGGCTTCTCAGCATCCTCTCATGCTGATGGGGACCCCCAAAACGTCGTTTTTATGGATTGAACCGAATCAGGTACAACTAGGCGAGACAGAAAGTGATATGACTCACCTTTTCAACGACTTATGCTCTGTAAGCCATTTTTCCATTGCATTTTGCACAAGAAGAGGGGAGGTAACTATTTATAACATCAAGATGACTTAGTGCTGCTTGAGCTCTTTTCCTCATTTTTTTGTGTTTCTCGACCGTTCTGTATACCCACTCTGGACTATTAAATATTTTTTCCATTGTTGAATCCCTCAAACATATATATATTTACTTTTAACGTAAAGCAGCTATTATGTCTTGTATTTTACCCTAAACCGCTTCCTTTTTTTCTTCGATGCCAAGTACCATTTCAGTGGATCACTTTTCTGTTTGGTTGCACCTTTTTCGACTCTAGTAGGTATATAAACAGCAACAAATAAAAAAACAATGGCCTCGAAAAAAATTTACATCGCTGGCCCAGCGGTTTTCTTCCCAGATCAAGGTGCCTCTTACTACAATAAGGTAAGTGATTTACTGAAGGCAAAACAGGTCATCCCACTGATTCCAATTGATAACAAAGTCGTTGGGGCATTGAACATTCGCAACGCCAACATTGACATGATCAAGGAGTGTGATGCTATCATTGCGGACCTGTCTCCTTTCCGCTCGTATGAGCCAGACTGTGGGACTGCCTTTGAAGTCGGATACGCTGCAGCTCTTGGGAAGCAGCTTATTGTTTTCACTTCGGATCTCCGCAGTATGCCTGAAAAGTATGGCAGCACCAAGGACTCCGACGGCCTGACAGTTGAAGATTTCTCACTCCCATTCAACTTGATGCTTTCCGATGGGAATCCGATATTTGGCTCCTTTGAAGAGGCATTCGATCATTTTTGTAAGACATCTCTGCAAACCCCTAATAATTAACTCTATCGTCTTTCCTTCTCCGTTATTTTAAGTCAATTTTAATGAATGCATTTTTTTATTCTTAATAGTGGAAAAGATAGAATGCTGTCGTTGACATACAACATTCATTAATGTGGAATCTAAACTTTTTGATTTGAACAAAAACTGCAAGGCACCAAATAGAGGCTTATTTCTTTAAATTTGCAATACCACTTTATGTATATTCCTTTCCCCTCCTCAAGTGTGCTCGTCTTTTTTCATTTTAAAAGTGAGGTGTAATACACTAAAGAAAACAATATCAAAGCATCAAAGTCAGGTTAGGATATCATGTCCGTTTCGAACGAAGTTTATGCGGAGGGTCGTCGTAGTGTGCGTGAGAGCATGCTCCACTATGTCGCTCAGCGAATGACTGTTGCGAGAACAACCGCGATAAGTGAGCGGGGGCGCTTTTGGATTCTTGTTCTCGGCGTCTATTCGTGCATTTGTGCTTCGACCGGTTTTGTCTATAACCTTTTTTCGGGAGATCTCCAAAAGAAGTACAACTTCAGTCAGAGTGATATGACCACCATTACAACTGTATCGGGAATTCTAAGTATTGTGGCGTTCCCGCTGGCGATTGTTTATGACCACTACGGTCCTCGGCCTTTATTTATTGTCGGGACTATAGCATTTCCTCTTGGCTCTGTACTCTTTGCAATGGCATTAAAAGACATGTTCCAAGGTTCAGTCACTCTTTTTATTCTATTTAGCACTTTGCAGGGTGTTGGAAACAGCATGTTCGACATTGCGGGACTTATGACTGTTATGAGCGTGTTTCCCAGTAGCCGTGGGGCTGTTATTGTGGTGATGAAGACCTTCATCGGCCTTGGCTCAGCTGTTCTCGGTGCTATTCAGATGGGGTTTTATGAAAATAATGTCATAGGTTTCTTTAACTTCATGGCCGCATTTGTATTCATTGTGGGAATTTTGAGTGCGATCTTTATCCGTCTACCGCCCTATGAGCTCACCAGGCACGATGAATCACATCTGAGCGAGGCGGAGAAACGGAAACGGATTGCCACAAAGAGGGCTTATTTTGAACAGGTGCCGCCATTCAGACGTTTTGCCATAGGATATATTCTTGTAGGAATTATTTCCATCTTTTTAACTGTGCAAAGCACTCTGGTTGCCTACGTGGACCTGAGCCACACTTATAAGATGGCCTTCGCAATTATCACCATACTGTTTTTACTCATGTATACAGTTATTGCCCTGCCTATTCGTTGGTTGGATGGTGGAAGCGATGCGATTATAGAACGCATTAGAAATAGCGAGGCCACCTTTGAGAGCAGCGTGATATCACCACGGCAACAGACGACATCTCAGGCGCTACAGCGTGCCAGTGCGAGGATGAGTGCTATCCTAGCCTCCACAAGGGGGAGTATTCGCGAGGAGTCTGTATTCAGAATGCCAATTATGGACGAATCGGAGCATATCGCACCACAGTATCAGTCAACCTTTATGGAAAGTTTGTTCACTCTCAAACTATGGGCACTTTCTTATTCCCTTTTTTGCATCATTGGAGCGCAAGGGGTCATCATTATGAACGCGCGTTTTATTTATGCGTCTATTTCAGGTAAACCCATCCATGATGAGATGGCCACACTCCTGACTGTCATCAATGGCACTGGGAGTGGTCTCGGACGGATTCTTATGGGTATTTTTGAGGTGTGGACACAAAAGCGAAAGCCGGAGGAGCGCATTCCCCTCACCATCTCATTACATATTCCAACCATTGCCATGCTACTTGCATCTTCCTTGCTTCTTGTCGTAAGTGAGAAGTATTTATTGATACCCTTTATTTTGACAGCGCTTGGCAATGGATTTATTGCAGCCATTAATGTGCTTGTGATACGTACAATTTATGTAAAAGACATAGCAAATCATTATAACTTCACCTCTATCGCGTCTCTCGCAGCTTCAATTTTTATAAACAAAATGCTCTACGGCGACTGGTACACCAAGGAGGCAGAGAAGCAGGGAAGTACCATTTGTTATGGTCGTGAGTGTATTTTTGTTCCCTTTCTTGTTATGAGCCTCCTTGTGGCTTCTGGCATTGCTTCCAACTACTATGTTCACTACCAGTATCAGTCATACTGCAATGCAGTTTTGGAGGAGCGCAAACAGTCACGGGACCCTATCACTGAAACTGTCATTGATGATAATATTGGCGAATCCCAGCCCCTGTTGCAGGATGCCCAACTATGAAGAGGCAATAGATTTGTCTAAAGCTTTTTGCCTGAGTTGGCTATCCCTCTGTATGCAAGCACTATAGCATGCAAGGCTCTTACCATTTATAGTTCTATATCGACAAGTCTATAAACAATTTTGTTTTCCAGCTTCTCATGAAGTGATTTATCTTCGAAACCACACCGTATCTCGTATGGACTGATAGAGACGAAGATCAACCTGCTGCTGTCTGCTTTATCTCTAATTCTTCTGTCGGTATGTCTTGTGTTCTCTAGGGCCTTATAGTAGTAATTGTCATGATGATCCATAGCAGCTGTTTCCCGGTGCTGAGTTTTCTTCAGGTTCCGGGGAAAATGTCTAAACCTTTGTGGCTTATGATGGGAACCGCGTTTAAGATAGCGAGGCCAACTGATAGTGCACCGGAAGCTTCGACGGTGCATACAGGGCGGACCTTTTTCCTAACAGCCAAGCACACTTTTATCCCGTGGTGCTGCTCAGAGGCAGCCTCAAGTCTCAAGATTCCAGAGGAGTATCGCAAATCACGTTACGTTATAGGACGGCTTTATGCACCCTTAAATGACACCCATCAGCGTGCTAATGCGTCCTGCTTTGCTGAGATTAGTCTCATTTCGAGCCACCCAACCCTTGATGTGGCTTTACTGGCAACCAAGACATTCCACGATCAGTCTATAGAGCAGACCATTGCCCAGACACTCCCGCTGTCTCTATGCACTGACAAGGAAATGCCTGCACAGGGCGCACAATGTGTCATCAACGGCTTCCGTGGGGAGGGAAAGCTCGGGGAGCTGGATACATTCGATGCGGGTTTACTTCAAAAATTATCGCCCAAGGAAAGAGAAACACTTCTTAAGGAACTGGAGTCCGTCGAGGGCAAACAAGTAGCGGCCAGCACTTTTGTAGAGGTGTTAGACCCCCTAGGAATGGGCCATGGCATTGGGGATTATAACCAGTGTTTTCATGGAATGTCCGGATCTCCACTGTTGACGCTCGTTGGCAACAAACCCCTGTGCTGTGGGGTGCTGTATGGTAAGCATCCCGACTATCCAGAAAACATTGGCTTCATACCGTCCAACGCTATATTACCATGGATTCACAATGCTATTCGGTAAGTGCGACCCAACTTGAGTCGTGTTTGCGTTGTAAAACCAATACTAATAGAAAAGGCGGTCCTCTATGTATGTTCCTGGTGACAAGTGTTTGGGGATTACGTTCTTTTTGTGGCTTAGCTTTTATCGACGTGCCCCACTATTGCAGTGAAGAGGGGTGTTGTACTGCAATTCTTTCTTTCTTTAGCTTCACTAATCCTCTTTGTTCCTTCAATTTCAATGGATGCTAGCGATGAATGGGGCGTGTGTGGGCGTGGTGCGTGGTGGCTGTCCCATTTT